CAGGATTAGAATCGGGTTTAATTGAACTCTGGCCTACCTTCTCTCTCTTCTACTTTCTCTCCTTCCCAGTTTCTCTCCCTCTCTCCCTTCTTTCCTTTAATTTACTAGTATTTATTGAATGCCTTAGGTGCCCAGCACTGTTCTATGCCTTCCTAGTAGACTACCTAGAAAATACATAACTATTCAATTCTAGTGTCCATCAGCTTTATTTAATAGCAGATACAGTCATGCACTACATAGTGATGTTTGGTCAAAGATGGACTATATATATGATGGTGGTCCTATAAGATTATAATAATGTATTTTTATCATACCTTTTCTATGTTTAGATACACAAATACATACCATTGTGTTACAGTTGCCTACAAGTCAGTACTGTAACATGCTGTACAGGTTTGTAGCCTTGGAGCAATAGGCCATACCATTCTAGGTTTGTGTGAGTACACTCTGATGTTTACACCACGAAGAAATTGCCTAACAACACATTTCTTAGACTGCATCACCATTATTAAGTGATGCATGACTGTATTTGGATGGAAGCAAAGGAAGAGGTTTTTTTTTTTTTTTTTTTGGAGACAGAGTCTCTCGCTCTGTCACCCAGGCCGTAGTGCAGTGGCGTGATCTCAGCTCACTGCAACTTAGGCCTCCTGGGTTCCAGCGATTCTCCTGCCTCTGCCTCCTGAGTAGCTGGCACTCTATAGGCACATGCCACCATGCCTGGCTTATTTTTTGTATTTTAGTAGAGATGGGGTTTCACCATGTTGCTCAGGCTGGCCTTGAACTCCTGAGCTCAGGCAATCCACCCGCCTTGGCCTCCCAAAGTGTTAGGGTTATAGGCATGAGCCACTGTGACTGGCCAAGGAAGAGGCTTTCTAATTCAAAGCCTAATATTAGCCATTCTGTTTTCTTGTGAAAAAATTTACCGGCTCTGGATTGTTACATTCCAGTGTGTGTTAGTAGTTTTAAAAATAAAAATGCTGTTTCTGTATTAGCTCCTTCTCTAAGGAAATGTAGAATATGCCGGAGATGGCAAAGTATAGATATCATCCATATTCATATTAACATTAGATGAGATGTAAATGTTGCAAGTAAAAATTAGAGCGGGGAATAGTATCTAGAAAGAAAAGCAAGCGATTGAATATTCTAATAAGCTTGGAATTTTAAATAAATTAAAAAAGTAAAGTTTGCCTTAATTTGGGCCAGTAGTTAATTAGAGTGGATTTCAGCTTGGATTTCCTAAAAACAAAGCCTGAGATGAGGATTTAGAGCTGATGCTTAATTTGAGACGTACAATCTCTAGGCAGTGAGAGTGGCAAGAAAGGAAAGTGATTCAAGGTGGATGAGAAGCAATACAAAGTGTTGTGTTTACCCTGCTGGGCTCATTTCACAGTGAGCTGACTGGGAAATAGTTGAGTACTCAGCAGGGACAGCTACTCTACCACCCAAAATATGTCTGGACAGGCAGTGTAAAGAAACTGCACCTCAACACAGCCTGGGAGGGAGGAAGGAGAGATATTTATCTACATGGCTTTCTGTCAGCTCTTGTTTCCCGTTGGTCAAAGTTTACCAGTGGGGATATAACCAACCCCACAATTCTGGTTATAACATTTCATTCATTCAGCAGCCACCTTGAAGCCAAATCTAATGCCCTGTAATACAACTTTTCAACCAAGTAAGAAATAGAAAATCCAGAATTCAGAGTATGCCTGTCCAGAGTACGCCTGTCTATGCTATGAACATCATGGAAGAAGAGTCCCTTCTTTGACAAACAAAAGTGAATGGACCCAAGGGAAGAGCAGTCAGCCATGGGGGTGGTGGCTTAGGTGGAGCATGCTGAGAGGGTCTGTGAGGTGGTGGCACCACAAGAATCTGAGTAGTTGCAGAAGATGTTTCTGATAAGATGAATTAGATTTCAGCAATATGTTCTACCCTCTCAAGCCTTATGTTTCATACTGGGCTCCTAACCTCAGCCAATATTTCCCTTCCCTGAAAACTCAGTGCAGTGATGCAATCATCTCAGGTCATGTCAACTCCACCTCCTGGGCTCAAGTGATTCTCCTGCCTCAACCTCCCTGGTAGCCAGGATTACAGGTGCACACCACCATGCCTGGCTAATTTTTGTATTTTTAGTAGAGATGGGTTTTTGCCATGTTTGCCAGGTTGGTCTCAATTCCTGACCTCAAGTGATCCACCTGCCTCAACCACCCAAAGCACTGGGATTATAGGCTTAAGCCACCATGCCTGGCAGACTAATATATATTTAGTTTTAGCAATAGAATTCTTGTATTTTTAAAAATGTTTTTAAGAAAAGATCTCTTCATGGCTTTGTCTATTTTATATTCAAGTATTGTTAAATCTAATTACTCAGTGAATTACATGTTTCAAAACTACTTTTCTGGGCCCTAGTTTGTTGTTTTCATCTTTTCACATACAGCTGCCAAGTGGACTGGTTTCCATTTCCCAAGTCTTTCCTCATTTCTCTCTGAACTTGTAAAAACTCTGTTTGGTTTCTGTGTCCTTCCTTTATGCCTAAAGGGACAGAAATACACCTGAGAGGAACAGGAACAGTAATGGTAGTTTCTATAGCCCAAAGAGTCCTTTTAGGAACTAAATTTATTTGTCCTCCCTTTTTATGGTACAAAGTATGACAATGTATATTTGATATTTCATGCTTATTATTTATAAGATGTGATTTATGCAAGTAGTCCATGTTCTTTGTAGAAAAAAATGGAAAATACAGATAAAAATTAAGATCACCCTACTTCCACACTTACATATAAGCCTGCTTTTTTTTTTTGGCAACTTCATGACTTTGATTTGTGGTGCCTGTTCTTTGTCTTGAAAATACCTTCTCTGCCCCAGACGGTGGCCGGGAAGGGGGCAGCAAAAAATAGAAAACGTCCTTCCCTATTACACATGGACCCTATATACAGGCCCACCTGCCTAAGGCCAGTGGGACTCTTGGCACATTCTTGGATCTCTGCTCAGGAAGGGAGGGGTGAAGGGCGACATCACACTTGAAATGGGGACCTCCAGGTCTTGAGTACTGATCTTTGATCTTCTTGGTCCTCAGTTCCTTCCTGGTCCCGTCTCCAGCCCTGGTCCCCTCTATGTAGCCTGCTTTTTGTATTTAATGATATTAAATCATTTTAAATTTTTGCATAGTATTCTAGTAGTTGGTGATTCCATAACTTATCCTATTTTCTACTATGAAACATGTAAGCTGTTCATAATTTTTTGTTCAATATAAGTAAAAGTTCCTTAGAGAAACATTATGAGTCTAAATAAGTACCTAAATTCACTAAGTTTTTAGATGCGTCTGTTACCAGTAGAGGGTTATGACTGCAAGTTGTCCAGGTTCTTGGTGTTTTGAACATAGTTGGACAAAACGCCCAGCAAAGCAAAGAAAGAATGAAGCAACAAAAAAGAGTGAAAGCAGGGATTTATTGAAAGTGAAAGCACACTCCACAGTGTAGGTATGGGCCAAAGCAACAGGCTGAGGGACAGGATACAGAATCTTCTTCAGTCCAAATACCTGCTAGAAGTTTCCCATTGGCCACTTCATGCTCACCTCATGTAAATGAAGTGGTAGTCTGCAATCAGTCTGATTGGTTGCAAAAAGCAGCCAACCAGAGGCTGAAGGGAAGTTACAAAGGTCATGCACCTGTGCAAACATCTGATTGGATGCCAGAAGCAACCAATGACAGGCTAGGGTGAAATTACAAAGTTATACTTCTGTGCAAACAAAGACTTGGCCTGCAATGAGTCTGATTGGTTGTGGACAGCAAAGTTTCCATCTGACATGCGGAAAAGGTGAGGGCTTTGCAAAGGTAGTAGCCTCTCTTTTGTTATTTAGGCATGGAAAGTTAGGGTTTTCCTTTCCATTTAGTTCTAGGAAGTCGTTGTGAATCAGCCTTAGGTTCCCTGCCTCCAGACGCTATTCTCCTGCCTTACTTCTTCCAGTTTGTTTCAAAGCAGTCTACCCATCACTTTTTTGTATTTCTCATGTTTACATTGCCCTCTACTACTGTGGAGAGTCATGAGTGGACTAATCTGACCTGTGCTCTTCAAAGCATTGTCCAGATTGCTACCAGACCTCTGCAAGATAAGAAGGTTGTGTCTGAATATAAACAAAGGCATTGCTTAGTTCATTGAGAGATTTTGGCTACTCCCCCACCCCACCCAAAAGCTGAACTAAGCAGTATATTTTTAGTGACGAGTTTCATTTCACTGCAGAATTCTTATTTCATCATAGGTGGTTGTCAAATACTTGCAGACTACCACATTATACTCAAGGTTTTTTTTTTTTTTTTAAGTTCTGGGGTACAGGCACATGATGTGCAAGTTTGTTACATTGGTAAACGTGTACCATGGTGATTTGCTGCACCCATCAACACATCACCTAAGTATTACGCCCAGCATGCATTATCTATTTTTCCTGATGCTCCCCCTCCTCCTACCCTGTCCCACCCCAACAAGCCCCCGTTTTGTGTTGTTCCCTTCCATGTGTCTATGTGTTTACACTGTTCACCTTTCACCTATAAGTAAGACATGCGGTGTTTGGTTTTCTGTTCCTGTGTCAGTTTGCTAAGGATAATGCTTCCATCTCCATCTATGTCCCTGCAAAGGACATGATCTTATTCCTTTTTATGGCTGCATAGTATTCCATGGGGGGTATATGTACCACATTTTCATTATACAGACTATCATTGATGGGCATTTGAATTGATTCCATGTCTTTGCTATTGTGAATAGTGCTTATGCACAGGTTTTTTTTTTTTTTTTTTTTTTTTTGGAGACAGAGTCTCACTCTGTTCTAGACTCTGGAGTGCAGTGGCATGATCTCAGCTCACTGCAACCTCTGCCTCCTGAGTTCAAGTGATTCTCCTGCCTCAACTTCCCAAGTAGCTGAGATTACAGGGACCTACCACCACGCCTGGCTAATTTTTGTATTTTTAGTAGAGACGGGATTTCACCATGTTGGCCAGGCTGGTCTTGAACTCCTGACGTTGCTATCTGCCTACTTCAGCCTCCCAAAGTGCTGGTATTATAGGTGTGAGCCATCACACCTAGCCATGCCAAAGTTTTAATGGAAGTCTAATATAAGGGAAAACACCTGGGCTTGGCTTAGTTACTATTCACAAATATTAATTACTTACTTTGAGAATATGTGAGGGATACACATTGCTGTCCTCAAGGAGCTTGCAGTCTAGTTGTAAACTATACATAACAACACGAGAACAAAGAGAACTCTATGAAATGGAAATATCATAGCATAATTACTATCTGCCTATAGCATAATTACTACTAGCCCCATAGCAAAATGGTGATTTGAATTTTTGAAAGAACACTTTCCTCTCAGAAATGCAGAACAAATTTATTGACTTAGCAAACTGTTATGGAATACCTAATATATGCCAAGAATTGCACTAAATACTAGGCATACAAAGATGGCCAAGACATTCCTCCTGCCTTTATTTTACTTGGAAAGAGGGAGTCTTAGAACAGAAGTCAGAATTAGCTATACCAAGAAGAGCAAAGGTCTTCTAGACATAGGACAACAGCAAGTGCAAAGAGTAAAAAAATGCTTTGTAAACTGTTTGTTACTGTTTTGAGCTCTGGAAAAGGGATATAAAGCTAATAATTTCTCTGGAAATACTTTTAAGGACAATATGATTCTAAAGGAATAATCAAAAGTTAGAAAGTAGGTAAATTCAAAAGCTGTAGAAAAACAACTGTTATATAAAGCAGAAAGAAAGAAGAAAATAATATTACCATTTTGAAACATTAGCTAACATTTCAGTAAGACTGAAAATAAAGCTAGTTTCATGTTCAAAAGCCTATGTATGGATCATAAAGTAGAGCCAACTAGTAGCAGGAAATGTAAGCAGGAAATATTAAAAGTGACATTGGAGTGGACAGCAGGACTCCAAGATGATGTCAGTCGTCCCAGTGAAGGACAAGAAACTTCTGGAGGTCAAACTAGGGGAGCTGCCAAGCTGGATCTTGATGTGGGACTTCAGCCCTAGTGGCATTGCCAGAACATTTCAAAGAGGTTACTACTGGTACTATAACAAGTACATCAACATGAGGAAGGGGAGCATCTCGAGTATTACCGTGGTGCTGGGATGCTACATGCTCTTCAGCTACTGCCTTTCCTACAAGGAAATCAAGCATGAGTGGTTACACAAGTACCACTGAAGAAGAGGACACGCTCTGCACTCCCCGCCATGACCTTCTTGCCCAAGCCCATCCATAAGGAACACAATCTCGATCGTTGTTGAATCCTTTCCTATCCTAATGGGAATTAACCTCCAAATAAAGGATGACTGGAAAAAAAAGTGACATTGAAGCTTATTAAGTTTATGATTGCAAGTTTCTTTGGCATATCTAGTTAATTTTATGCTAAATGAAATTCATTAATAATTTTCATCAATTAGTATAATTTTTTTTTTTTTTTTTTTTTTTGAGACGGAGTTTCGCTCTTGTTACCCAGGCTGGAGTGCAATGGCGCAATCTCGGCTCACCGCAACCTCCGTCTCCTGGATTCAGGCAATTCTCCTGCCTCAGCCTCCTGAGTAGCTGGGATTACAGGCATGCGCCACCATGCCCAGCTAATTTTTTTATTTTTAGTAGAGACGGGGTTTCACCATGTTGACCAGGATGGTCTCGATCTCTTGACCTCGTGATCCACCCGCCTCGGCCTCCCAAAGTGCTGGGATTACAGGCTTGAGCCACCGCGCCCGGCCACTTTAGTATAATTTTTAAACATCTTAAGTTTTATAAAAAATGGGCGATCACTACAAAATGAGAAAAGTTCCCAAGGTGTATATTGAATATTTCTGTTTTGCTTTTCTTATATAGAAACGATTAACGTTTGGAAATGAGTCATAAATATCTATAGAAAACAGTTTATCCCATGGTAATGTAAGATGTGAAGAAAACAATTGATATTGTCCTTTTTTATATGAGGATTTTCTTTTTTTTTTTTTTTTTTTTTTTTTGAGACGGGGTTTCCTTTTTTTTCCCCCTGGTGGGCAATGGCGCGCTCTCGGCTCACCGCCACCTCCGCCTCCTGGGTTCAGGCAATTCTCCTGCCTCAGCCTCTTGAGTAGCTGGGATTACAGGCACACGCCACCATGCCCAGCTAATTTTTTGTATTTTTAGTAGAGACGGGGTTTCACCATGTTGACCAGGATGGTCTCGATCTCTTGACCTCGTGATCCACCCGCCTCGGCCTCCCAAAGTGCTGGGATTATAGGCTTGAGCCACCGCGCCCGGCCCTATATGAGGATTTTCAAAATGTTAACTAACTTTTGTTATTAATCATATGGCTTTCTTGAAAAGAGATACTTGCAAATTTGTTACAGCAGATCAAGAAAAGGAATTTTGCAACAGATGTACAATCAGAAAACTGCCTTGCAAAAGTAAAATAAAACAGTCATAACAATAGTATTGTTGGTATGTGCTTTAGTAGTATGTTCCCCACTGCCCCTCCTCTTTTTTTGTGTGTTGTACCAAATAAAGAATCAGGAAACGAAGAAAATGTGTAATTCTGGAGAGTGTGCTCACAGTTCACCACATTTCATTTAGATCATTAACTTTTTAGAAGCTTCAGATGAGCCAAGCTATATCAATGCTGTCCCATCAGATCTATCACATTCATTATTAATACAATATTGACCCCATCAGCACTGGTCTTGCACTGTGTCTCTTTTCAGTGGGAAAGTATCATTTGCAAGTTACCTGAAACGTTTTTCATTTGTTGACCTCATCCTGGTTTCTGATTACTTTTTCCACTTTACATTGCTATGAACTATTTGTGTCACATTTTACTACCTCATAAGTTTAAATATTTTTAAGTAACTTCCTGCCAGCATAAAATATATTGAAGTGTAGAAAATGTTTTCCTTGCTGATTATTTAAGCAGAGTTGCAAGCCACTGACACTAGTTTCTTTATGAGAACACTATGTATACCTTGGAACATTTCTAGCTTTCTGTTTAGTTTATAGTTAGGATTTTATTTTCTGTTTCCATATATATTCCCTGTGTGTTTTTTTCTTGTTTATATACATTTGTCTACTAAGTTGTTAGTTTTTATGTGTGCTTTACTGATACATTTGGCCACTAAGTTGTTAGGTTTTTATGTGCTCTTTACTGGATTACTTTAGTTTAGTGCAAGATACTGTTTCAGAATTCCAAACATCATTAAAGCATTTTAATCATGGGTAAGGGAAGTATAGGTTGATTGATTGATTGAGTTTCCATTCATTGCTGGTAATGAATTTTATTTCAATCATCAAATAAATTGAATCAAATCAATAGATAAAATTGAATATTTACTTTATAATTTCAAGTAGTATAAGAAAGTGCAAGTGATTTAATAACCTTTCTCAAATGAATAATGAAGATTTTTGTTTGATTTTATTGTAGGATGGAGTGGTTCTTGTTCATTGTAATGCAGGAGTTTCCAGGGCTGCTGCAATTGTAATAGGCTTCCTGATGAATTCTGAACAAACCTCATTTACCAGTGCTTTTTCTGTGGTGAAAAATGCAAGACCTTCTATATGTCCAAATTCTGGCTTTATGGAGCAGCTTCGTACATATCAAGAGGGCAAAGAAAGCAATAAGTGTGACAGAATACAGGAGAACAGTTCATGAGTTGCATTGTAGCAGACGATAAACAACTGTAGTTTCTGAATTTGCTTCTATAGCCTTCTTTTCCCTTTTTTGGAGAGTAGACTAGCAAAACTCCTTTTTTCCCTCTTGCCTTTTTAAAGCATAATGGAGGTCAATTTGATGGTCCTGAACTGTGTAAATAAATTTCAAATGTCATTACTTTCTCTGTTATTATAATGTGTGATTAAATGCTTTTGTAAATTGCTAAGAGAAAATAACAATGTATTCCTAATCATTGCTTTCTGTAGAAGAAAAAGGTTTAAATTTAAAATATGTATTTAGACCATGGAGAGAATCAGTTAATGAAGACTATTTTTCTGCAACAGGTTTTATTAAGGAAAAAACTTGAAGTGCTACTTAACTTACTATTTCAAAGGGAGGTAAATTTTTTTTTTTTTTTTGAATTTTTTTTTTAAGAATCTTTTTAAGATTAAAACTGAATACCTTAACTCTCCCAAAAGAGGTAACGAGTATCTGAAGGTATATACAATATGTATATAGTGGCTACAGTATTCACAAAATTCTTATGTTCTCTTATGAAAAATATACACTTTTCATTTTGTTTTCTTTTTTTGAGACAGAGTTTGGCTCTTGTCACCCAGGCTGGAGTGCAGTTGGCACGATCTTGGCTCACTGCAACGTCTGCCTCCTGGGTTCAAGCAATTCTCCTGCCTCAGCCACCCAAGTAGCTGGAATTACAGGTGGCCACCACCACGCCTGGCTAATTTTTGTATTTTTAGTAGAGACAAGAGTTTCACCATGTAAGCCAGTTTGGTCTCAAACTCCTGACCTCAGGTGATCCACCCACCTTGGCCTCCCTGAGTGCTGGGATTACAGGCGTGAGCCAGTATGCCCAGCCTCATTTTGTTTTTCTTCAATTCTATTTGAGTTTCTTTCTTTCTTCTTTTTTTTAATGTATAGATGTTCTCTCATACATTATTGTGAGCTTTTGGTATTTTGAATAGGTGATTTATTCTCTTACATTTTGTGCTTTTTATCTTGGGTGACTAGCATTCTGTTTTTGGATCCTATGTCACAATTTTTTGAGAAAATGTTTGATACTGCAAGATCATTTTAAATATATGATTTGTTCAGTGGCCTGTTTTCTACTTCAGTATTCTACTGGGGAACATTTTTTTTTTTTAAGATGGAGTCTCGCTCTGTAGCCCAGGCTGGAGTGCAGTGGTGCGATCTTGGCTCACTGCAACCTCCGCCTCCCAGGTCAGGTTCAAGCAATTCTCCTACCTCAGCCTCCCAAGTAGCTGGGATTACAGATATGAGCCACCATGCCCAGCTAATTTTTGAATTTTTTAGTAGAGACGGGGTTTCACCATTGGCCAGTCTGGTCTTGAACTCCTGACCTTGTGATCTGCCCGCCTTGGCCTCTCAAAGTGCTGGAATTACAGGCATGAGCCACCGCGCCCGGCCTGGAGAACATATTTTTAAAGGGCGAAGAGTTATGATTTTGTAAGAAGCTTACATACTTTTAGGAGACCTACAATCATTTACAGTTTTATCTTTGGCCTTTGAATAGGTTCTTTTTTCTTTAATGTCTCCATATTTGCAAGACTAAGCTCTGCACATTATAAATTTGTTAAAGATTTTAATTTTTTCTTCAGAATAAGGTGTACTTAAAATTAATTGGGACAGTTTTTTTGTTTTGTTTTGTTTTTCAAGACAGGGTCTTGCTCTGTCACCCAGGCTGGAGTGGAGTGGCGTGAACACAATGCACTGCAGCCTCTACCTCCTGGGTTCAAGCAATCGTCCTGCCTTAGTCTCCTGAGTAGCTGAGACTACAGCTGTGCACCACCACATCAGGCTAATTGTATTTTTATTTTTGTAGAGACAGGAGCCTTGTCATGTTGGCCAGGCTGATTTCAAACTTTTAGACTCAAGTGATCCTCCCGCCTGGGCCTCTCCAAGTGCCAGGATTATAGGCGTGAGCCACCACACCTGGCCTGATAATTTCCAGATAGTTTTTCATGACCTAGAAGATATCATTGCCATGTAGATTTTATTTTTAAAAGTCCTGAGCTCTTCTTAAATATACATTATAGAGAGCAAGCATAGATGGAAAGTGCATATTGAGCACATCTCTGCATTTGAGAAGGCAGACTTTCATATGCTGTCATGAACAAAAAGTAGAAGTGATAAATGCAAGTTATGTTTTGAGACTGCTTATACCCTAACAAGATGCCATCACTTGCAATGCTATAAACTCTGCTTCTGCTAAGAAGCAGTCTAAATATAATCAACCTACAATAAGCTCTTTGAAGTCAACCAAGACAGGCAGAAGGCTCTTAAATGAGACCAATGTATAAAGTTGTCTCTATAGTCAGTATCACTGTGGGTTTTCTGGATGAGCCTTCTCCATTCACAAGAAAGCATTTATTTAAATACAGTTGATTTTGCTGAGTCCTGTTTAGTTTTCAGCCATTAAATGTCACATGAAGCCTTGATAGAATTTGTTCATAATGGATCGTGATATTGTTATTATTATTATTACTATTAGAGGCAGAGTTTTGCTCTTGTTGCCCAGACTGGAGTGCAGTGGTGCGATCTTGGCTCACTGTAACCTCTGCCTCCCAGATTCAAGTGATTCTCCTGCCACAGCTTCCCAAGTAGCTGGGATTACAGGCATGTGCCACCACTCCCAGCTAA